GTTGAGGTGGCCTCTTCAAGCGCCACGCGCTGTTCTTGAGGGGCACGGACCCATGTTCGCAACGATTGATGCTCCGAAATGGCCGCTGATCCTTGTGGGGCGCGCGCACCTGCATCACTCTGGGGAGGGGGGGATTACTCATCAAGAACAACGCATGGCGATTTTCGGAGCGGACGGGAATGCGTCGTCGGCCGCCGTCGACCTTTTGGGCCTCCCGCGGAGAGCTGACATGGTCACGAGGTCAGCCGCCGCGGCGCCCGTGATCGCCGAGTTGGTGGACAAGACCACGATGAACGCGGACTGGCCCCAGAGGCCGCGCAGGCCCGTGCAGGCGGCGTTCAACGGGGGGAGCCGTTCACTTGAAACAGCTCGTGTACCAGGCCCACCAGAGGCCCCTCACGGAGGCCCCCCTTGGTCCTGCCCCTCAGGCCTCCGACTGGAGCTCTGCCCGCAGGGGCGGCGGAGGCTGCCAATGAAGCGGTCGTTGCGAAATCAGTCAGCCAGGCGCGTGCGTTCTTGAATGAAGCGCGGATTTGGTTCTCGGATGCGACGGCACGCGAGCTCGAAAGGCGTCCGTGAGTCGCGGTGAAGCGCAGAAGCCTCAATGGCCGACGCCTGCGTGCAAAGTGGGTCTCGGTGTTCTCGCCTCCCCGTAGGTGGCCTGCCGAGATATCTCAGGCTAGGAGGGGTGGGTTTGGCTGCGACGAAACCTTGGGCTTCCAACAGACAAGTATGGGGATGCGCAAGAACGACCTGGTGGACCATGCGGAGTATGAGACCTGCCGGCATCCCGGCCAGATGCCGCAGCGGCCCGTCGAAGGCCCCCCCCCCCTGAACGCGTCATCCCGCTGTCCGCGAGGCGCGCTCGTCGGCTGAGTCCTGGCCTCGGCATGCTTGCGAACTCGCCGGCCGGGTAGATCGGCGCGCTCAGGCGCCGAGGGCTGGAGTGTCAATTTCGAAGAATCACAGGTCAACCTCGACAATTGTGCTAAGGTGAGCTGGGGTCGCTGGCAGGCGGGGGCCCCCTCGGGGCCCGCCCGACGAATGCGCGAGCTCATTAGAAACGAAGTCAATGGAAGCCAGGAGGTCGAAAGGAAAGAGATTGTCTCGCTGGGTTAAACCCCGCGGAGATTTGCGGCGCCAATAGGCCCCCCAGCCCTTGCGCGGCGCAGTCTTTAGACGGCGCCCGCGTTAAACAATTCTTTGTTGGGCGACGCTGGGCCGGAGGTGCCCGGCTGTATTTTTCATACGGTTGAGTATATAGGGCTCCGTTACACGGCCCTGCGATGGATGCCCCTCCTGCTGCTTGAACAGCCAAACAGACAGGGGGGGGTCCTTTTTGTCGCATGATCTGTTCTGGCAGTCGATTGCGATCCCGGCGGCGCCAGGATCGGCGATGTCGGTTTAGCAGGCGGAGCAAGGATCGGCGAGAATGGCGGCGGCGATGGTAGTTAGCAAAGACGTGGCGTCGATGACATCTCTATGACACTGCGCAATGCGCATCGAGATCCCGCGATGAATTTTTAATCCCGCGATTAATTAGCAATCCGCCCCCCCTGTTCTGCCGCGAGGCAAGCGCGCGCTGGCAGCTCGCGGCGCAGTCTCCCCCCCGCGTCGCAGCGGTCGGTGATGCGCGCTGCGACCAGCTTCAGGCGCCCGCGGCAGTCGCGCGGCGCCCCCTCCCAACGGGCACCGCGGCAATGTTTTCGCGAGGCGGCCCCTGGTCCAAGCAGCGGCGGCCCCGCGGAGCAAAATGCGCCGCATGTTGCCCGGAGCGATGGGCGCGTCGTCTTCACGGAACGACGTCATGTCCGCCGCTGCCAAGGCTTCCTTGCCCTCCATGGTGACATTGCCGTTTCCCGCTCCGAAGGGGCCGCCAACGCAGTTCGCGAACGCCGCCCTCGGCGCGCGGGCCCCCCGGAAGGCCCGCGCGCGGCCGACCATCGCGGCGGCGCCGCCCGGCGTCTCCCCAGGGAGATCGCCCGGCAGCGCCTCGATGAAATTTGCAATCTGCAATCATGGGGTTTGCGCGTCGGACTTGTTCAATTTCTGCATTGCTTTAGGCGTCCGCAGGTTAGCCGATTTGCCCATGGCCCCCCTGCTCATCCACGCCTTTCCAGCCTCCCTGGCCAGCGCGAGCAACCTGGCTTTTGCTGCGTCTACGGGGGCATGTCATTGCAGAGGGCGCACCATGCGACGTCGTCGCAGCACCATGGGCCCGCGCTTGCGCGCCCGCATGTGCGCGGCGAAAGCCATCCTTTTAGCGGGGGCTTCCGCGACCCGGTCCGCCGCGCCGGCATGCCTCGACATGTCGCCAAAACAATGGCAGTCTGAAGCAGACGAAGGGTCATCAAAGGGGACAGAAGATCGCAGGGAGCTTTAAAAACATGTTGTGGCATGGCACGATCACAATCAGACCGAGGCGCCCGGGCGCTGCCTGGAACCTGCGGCTCTCCGGCGCGGGGTCCGACTCGGATTGCGGCAGTGTTGCCATATGTTGTTGGAAGTCGTCCGGGCCATCGCAGTAGCACGTCTGCCTGACAACCAGGTAGACGGGGTGCTTGTCGACGCGCTGCCCCGCATCCAGGTGCAGCGTCGCCGTCGGGCACGCAGCCGCGATGGAAGAGCGCGTCGGCTCCTCTCCCCGTCTTCAGCCTCCTTGTGGCCGCAGCGATCGCCGTCGCATGAGCGTCGGCCTGAGGCGCCTGCGCGCTGGTCTTCTCAGGGAACCGCTCAGGGTCGACGTCGCCCATCCTCTGGAACAGCTGCCCCGCGGCCAGGGCACTGGGCGAGCCGCCTCGCGGCTTCTCGCCGAGCGACTTCGGCGGAGGAGCGGCGGCGTGCAGGCGGGGCCCGGCGGGGCACTTCTTGCCATCGGCGCGCCAAGCGCCCTGGAGCGCCCAGGCCATCGCACGCCCCCGCGCCCGCGGGCGCCCGCCCTTCGCCGACAGCCAGGCGCTCTGCAAAGCCTCTTGGGAGCGCGCCATTTTATCTTCCGATCGAACCTCCGCGGCGCCGCTGTCGCTGGGGCGTCAAAGCCCAAATGGTCGCGGGCGCGGCGGCGAAAGCGGCGTCAACTCACGCGGTTGCAAGCGGAAGCCGCTGGAGCAGCGCAGAGGTCACGTAAGCTTTCGGGAACCTATTAGACGACTTTTGATCCCTGGGGGGCTTGCAGCTGGCTGGCGAGAATACGTCAAGCGAAACCAACGATTGTGCTGTCGGCGCATCGAGAAACGCAAAGGAAAACTGCCGGAAGGCGTGGAAACCGGAGAAAACCATCAGGAAACCGCCTGAAACCGGTCCGGAAACCGATCGTCGTCGAAGAAGTCCTATGCGAGCGCTGCGTTTGTGGTCATACCCCGGGATCGATTTACAATATTCGACTAGGGGTGATCGGCCAAAGCCCCGCCCAGGGGCCCGCGGCTCTCGCTCCACAAGGCCCATGTGGATATCTAGAACTGAGGTGAAGTCGCCCTCGTCATCCCGTCGTCACCATGATCTTCGCCATGACCGCCATCGCCATCATCATCGCCATCGTCCTCCTCCTCATCATGATCATCAACGTCATCCTCATCCGCAGATCCGTCATCATTGCCGTCGTCGTCATCGTCGCCGCATTCCTCGACGTCGTTTTCGTCGGTAGTATTGCCCTCGTCGTAGTCATCGTCGTCAGCGCCGCAGTCATCATCGCCGCGGCGACTGTCGTCACCGCCAATGCCGCCCCTGCGGCAATCGCGCCGCGCGCCGCCGAGCGAGCTTCCCAGCCGCGAAACCCGCGGACTTACGATGGCCGACCTAGACAGCCACCTCAACCGCGGAATTGAGCAGCTGTGCCACAACTGCATTGCAATGCAGCTTCCTGGTGCCATCGTTCCTGCAGCGACGCACGTCGAATGCAGACGCCTCCCCATGTCTGATTTCAGAGAGAAGGACCTTCCGACGCCTTCCGCGGCCCCCCCCGCCAGCTTCCACGCGGGTCGAGATGTCGGTTCTTTCATTGCGCGACATTATGTATGTGCGTGTCTGTGCGCGTCTGCGTGTCTGCGCCTGTCTGCGCGCGTGTGCTTGTCTGCGTGCGTGTCTGTGTGTGCGCGTCCGTGCGGGCGCCAATCCTGCTGTCGTGCGTGCGTCTGCGTCTGCGAACAAATATTCCGCCCTTCTTCAGGCGCGCTTCAGCCGCGGTGAGGACACTGAAATTAAGCTCGATGCTGGCCTTTTTCCTCTTCCCCCCTTTGCGGGGGGTGCCTGCCCCGCCTGGGACAGCGGCCTCGGCGCCGGGATTCGCTTCCCATGCTGGCTCCGAGATCTCTGCGGCAACGCAGTTTGCCTCGACCCGCTCCCGGCCCGCGGCTGTCAGGCCCTCCAGCCGCCAGTGGTTCGTCGCGATGATGATGGGGGTCTGCCAGAGGAACACGCGGCTCGCGCGCGCTGCGTGCTCGACCTATTGCCCAACTCTGCGCCATCGATGTGCAACAGTCTCTTGTTCCCGATGATGAGATCCGGGCCTTCCATCCCGTCCAACAGCGCAGCCCTCGAGTGCATACTCGGCTCGAGAGCGTTCGTCGCGTCGACCACCAGGGTCTGCTCCGCGCGGAACAGTGATCCCGCCAGCCTCCATTTCCCCGCGCGGAACGGCCCATGGAGGACAAGGAACTCATACCTGCCATCGTCCACACCAGAGTGCATCCTTCAAGATTCAATGGCGGGACACAACGGCTTCATTGGCTTCGATCTGGCCCGGATCGCCGCCAGTGCCACTGACTGCTCCCCTTTGCGTGCGAACCTTGTCTCCGTCGCCGCGACGACCTCCAGGCAAGCCGCCCGTCGGTCGTGGCCATCGCGCAATTTCGCTGAAAGCTAGCGGAACGCGTCGTGGACCAGCTTATGCATCCGCCAGAGGCTGACTACCCGACTACCCACCATGCTTCGGGCCCCCACGATCCTTCCCGGGGGAAACACTTGGTCTCTGTGTATACAGCGCCAGACTTCCATGCCAGCGCATAGAAGTGCCCGCGCTTGGTGGCGCGCAGCCAATCCGACGGATCACGGCTCTCAAAGCTGGCGTCTACGCGGGGGCGCACGCCTGCGTAGACCCTTTCGTTCGTCGCGGAGTGGTCGACGCCGCTGCTGCGGCCGCGCCAGGAAAAGCACGCGCGGTAAAGGGTGCGACCTGGGATCTGCGCGCGCGGGCCATTCGCGCGCGCAGCACGAGGACGACGACGACGACCACGACCACGACCACGACGACCACGACGAGGACGACGACGACGAACACGACGAGGACGCCGCCGACGACGACGACGACGAAAACGACGAGGACGATCACGACGAACACGCCGACCACGACGACGTCGACGAGGACGACGACGACGACGAGGACGACGACAACGACGAAGACGACCACAAAGACCACGACGACGACGACCACGACGACGACCACGACGACGACGACGACGAAGATGACGATGACAACGACGACGGCGACGACGACGACGACGACCAAGACCACGACGACGACGAGGACGACGACGACGAAGGCGACGACGACGATGACGACGAGGATGACCACGACGACAACGACGACCACGACGACCACGACGACGACGACCACAACGACGACGAGGACGACCATGATCACGACCATGACGACGACGAAGACGACGACGACGAGGACGACGACGACGAAGACGACGACGACAACGACGACGACGACCACGACGACGCCGACCACGACGACGAGGACGACGACGACGAAGACGAGGACGACGACGACGATGACGAGGACGACCACGACGACCACGACGACCACGACGACGATTCCGACGACGACCACGACGACAAGGACGACGAAGACGGCGACGATGACAACGACGACGACGACGACCACGACGACGACGACGAGGACGACGACGACGACGAGGACGACGACGACGAGGACAACCACGACGACCACGACGACCACGACGATTACGAGGACGTCCACGACGACGACGACGAAAACGACGACGACAACGACGACGACCACGACGACGAGGACGACGACGACGATCACAACGACGGCGACGACGACGACGAAAGCGACGACGACGATGTCGACGACGAGGACGACCACGACGACCACGACGACGAAGTCGGCGACAACGACCACGACGACGACCACGACGACGAGGACGACGAAGACGACGACGACTACGACGACGACGACGACGACGACTACGACGATGACGAGGACGGCGACGAAGGCGACGACGACGACGAGGACGGCCACGACGACCTCGACGACCACGACGCCGACGACGACCACGACGACGACGATCACGACAACGACGAAGACGACGGCAACGACGACGACGAGGACGACGACTACGACGACGACCACGACGACGACGACGACGACGAGGACTACCACGACGACGACGACAACGACCACGATGAGGACGACGACGACGACGAGGATTACGACGACGACTACGACGGCGAAGACGACGACGACAACGACGACCACGACGACGAGGACGACGACGACCACGATCGCGACCACGACGATCACGACGACGAGGTCGACGACGACGACGAGGACAACCACGACGACCACGACGACCACGATCACGACGACCACGGCGACCACGGCGATCACGACGACGAAGTCGACGAAGTCGACGACGACGACGGCGAGGACGACGACGTTGACGAGGACGACGACGACGACCACGACGACAACGACCACGACCACGACGAATGCGACGACGACGACGAAGACGACGACGACGACGACAACGACGATCACGATGACGACGATGGCCACGACGACCACGACGACCAGGACGAGGGAGAAGACGACGACGACGAAGACGACGACGACGAGCACGACAACGACGACCACGACGACCGGAACGACGACGACGACGACCACGATCACGACGACCATGGCGACCACGACGATGTCGACGACGATGTCGACGACCAAGACGACGACGAGGACGACCACGACGACCACGACGACGACGAAGACGACGACGACGACGACGACGAGGACGACCACCACGACGACGACGACGACGACGACGAGGACGACGACCACGACGACGAGGACGACGACGACGACGACGAGGACGACGACGACCACGACGACAACGACGATGACGACGACGAAAACGACTCAAGACGAAGACGACGAGGACGACGACGACGACGAGGATGATGACGACGACGACCACGACGACCTCGACGATCACGACGATCACGACGACCACGACGACGACGAAGTCGGCGACGATGATGACGACGACGACGACGACGACAACGAGCACGACGACGACGAGGACGACCACGACGACCACGACAACCACGACGACAACGACGACGACGAAAGCGACGACGAGGACGACGAGGACGACGATGAGGAGGACGACGACGAGGACGACGACGACGACCACGACGACGACGACTACGACGACGACGAGGACGTGGACGACGACGACGACCACGACGACCAGGACGACCACGACGACGACGACCACGACGACGACGACGTCGACGACGACGACGACGACCACGACGACCACGACGACGAGGACGACGACGAAGACGACGACGAGAACGACGACGACGACCACCACCGCGACAACGACGACAACGACGACCACGACGACGACGAAGACGACGATGATGACGACGACGAAGACCACGACGACCACGACGACCACGACGACGACGAAGACGACGATCACGAGGACGACGACGACGACAACGAGGACGACGACGACGAGGACGATCACGACGACCACGACGACCACGACGACCACGAGGATGACGACGACGACGACCACGATGACCACGGCGACCACGACGACGACGGCGACCAAGACGACAACGACGACGAGGACGATGACGAATACGACGAGGACGACCACGACGACCACGACGACCGCGATGAAGACGACGACGACGCCGAAGACGACGACGAGGACGACCACGATGACGACGACGACAACCGCGACCATGAGGACCACGACGACCGCGACGACCACGACGACGACGATGACGACGAGGACGACGACGACAACGACGACGACGTCGACGACCACGACGACGGCGGCGGTGTCGGCGGCGGCTGCGATGTTTGTCTGCGACTTGCAGTGCGCGTGTCGCGCTGTGTTCGTGTGTCCGTGAATCGCGCGGTTGGGATCCTTCGATTTTATCGATCTTCTTTTTCTGACCTGTCCTCGATCTCGATCTTCTCGATGCTCCTGAGAGGAAGCGGATTCATCGACCTTCCTTCCATGGCTGCGTCCCCGAGAAACGAAAAAGCGAGGCCGGCGGGTGCAAAGAGCGCCCCCCCTTCATGGACAACGATAGTCGAGGGTGGAAGAGTACGCCGACCCCCAACACCGGCGTTTGCTAAACAGCACTGGGCGTTTACTAGACAGCCCTGCCCAGTTCGATTCCCTTCCCTGGGCGCGTTTGCGAAAGGCTTGGCTCGTCGGGTTGCGCAATATGGGGGTGTTTTTTTTCTGCTCGTTGGATCGAGGGGGATGAGCTCAGGGGGATGCATCGACCCCCAAGCGCCCACAGATCGCCGATGCGGGTCCGATGGCCCTCCTCGCTCAGGAACGTGCGGTTTCGCTATCGGGGGCCCATCGCCAGTCGATCGGCGGTGTGTCGCCGATTCTGGGTCGATGTTTCCCCCCCTTGTGCCAGGCACCCCCTATCGTTGCCCCTCACCCCTCCACGGAGGTCTGCGCGAATTTTTCTGATTGGTGCTGCTACTGCCCCCTTGGCGCGCGGAGCGTGCCAGGGGGGGCGCCAGACTCGCTCCGAGGGGGTCCAGCGCCGATCTGAGAAATCCACGCGGACCTACGAAAGTGTGCCGAAGCCAACTCCCCGTCTTCGAAGCAGGGCTCTGCAAGCCTGGGGCGCCTCCCCGGCGCCGGCTTCCGGCAACAGCTCTCGAGTTCCGGTCCTCGAACATCTGCGATCTTCGAGTCCTCGATCGTCAAAATATCTTCGAATCTCGAATATCCTTGAACCTCGACTCTCCACTATACTCCATCCTTGAATGAGACTCCTAGGATGTGAAATTCAGCATCGGCGCTGGTACATCCGTGGTCGAAGCCAGGCCTGATCAGGCATAACGCCGCGCAACTCCGCTCAAATCTGGTTCAATCCCAGGCTCAATCCAGGCTCAACGGTCCTTCAATCGAGGTTGATAAGCCCCGCTCGTTCATGCGGAGACTTCCCATGAGTTCATTGCTAATCCATCCTCGAGCTCACTTCTCGATCCGAGGGTCGGGGGTAGAGCGTTGCCTTCCTTTCTGCATCGACCCCTCTCCTCGGCCCAGACGCTCGATCCTCGAGCAACCTCGAAGCTCGATGCTCCTCGCTCGATCCCACTCCATCCTACTCCTCGTTTGTGCGTGCGAGAATGTGGGAATGGGAGAATGTCTTTCAGGAGGGAAAAAACACACAGACACAATGAATCGTCGATTTCCAGGAAAACATGGGAAAATACGGAAAGTGAGGGGGAGACAACACCCCAGAAAATATATAAGAATATGGGAAATCCTTTTATTTGTGTGTGTTTATTTGCGTGTCCTGGGGCCCCTTCAGTCTTTGGGAGGGCCAGCACCCGACCACGGTGAGCCTCTGGTGTGAGGGCCCCAGCAGGCTCCGATAGGCCCCTCCTACACGGCAGGGTTTGGACTCGGTGGCACCCATTTGTCTTGTCCATCTCTTCCTCGATCATCCATTCTCGATCCTCCTCGACCGTCCTCCATCCTCCATCCTCCATCCTCCTCGATCTTGCTCGGTCCTTCCTCCTCCTCCTTCTCCTCCATCCTCCTCGATCTTCAATCCTCCTCCTCCTCCTCCTCGATCCTCCTCGATCATCCGGCCTCCTCCTCGATCCTCCCTCCTCCATTGTCGATCCATCGATCTTTCTCGATCCCCGCCCCCCGGACAGGCGACGTCCCGGTTTTTTCAGCACAGGGCCCCCGGAAGTCCCGACCCTCCCCCTGGGACCGGTTCTCTTTACCGAGTCGTTGTGTGACGGTTCCGCGGCCCGGTTAGGTCGACTGCACGTAAGAAAGAAGGAACACAACAGGGGAAAAGAGAGAGAGAGGGAGAGGAGAGAGAGAGAGAGAAGAGAGCGAGGAAGAGAGAGAGAGAGAGATAGAAAAGCAAACAAGACATTGGGAGTACCAGCTTGAGGAACTGGAGCAAAAAACGGAGAGAGAAAAAACATTGGGCGTGGCCCTTCGTTGGGTTGTCCTCTTCTGGTGCGAGCCCGTCGGGGCCCCCGATGTCGCCGCGCGCGGTGCGACACCACAGCGTCCTGCGCACCCGTGCGTTTGGTCCCCCCTGCGGCCCCCAGCGTGCCGCGCACCGGCGGCCATTCTTTTCGGCGACTGCACTCAGAAACCCTAGCAATCAGGAAGGGAAAAAACACACAGACACAACTAATCGCCGACTCCCAGGAAAATATGGGCAAATATGGGAAGTGGTGGGGAAGACAAAAACCCAGAACAGATGGAAAATATGGGGACTTTTTATTTGTGTGTATTTATTTGTGTGTGTCCCAGGGTCCCTTCAAATAAGGACGCGCGACTTTGCTCAGGGTACCCTGGCGTCCTTGTTCTTCCTTGCTCTTGCGGCTCGTCCTTGGCCTCTTTCGCTTGCCCGCTGGTCAGGGTACCCTTGGGGTTTTCGCCGTCCGCCGCCCCCGAACATCCCGACTTCGGCTTCCAAGGGTCTCTTACGTCCTTACCGCGCGTCCTTATTAGGGCTTTTGGCTGTACACTCGGTGCGGTCACGCCAGGGTGCGGTTTGCGAGCTGCTTCGTGGCAGCCTTTCCAGGGCTCTTGTGAGAGACGATGTCTTAGTTGTCGTCGTTTCGAGCGACACCCTCATCCTCGATGTGTGCTCCACTGTACTAGAAGGATCGACAGTGTCATTGCAATTCGGTCGCATTGAGTGACAGTGTCATCCGTTTCCCGGGGGCGGGAGGGGCAGATATGACGGGAGACAAACCGCACACTTCGCAAACCGCACCCATTGTAGTCGCCGAGCTCTTTCTTACCCAGGGGTAACTCTCGCGTGCATTCGGCAACAGGGCCTTCCGAGGCCCAAAGCGACGAAAAAGCCCTCCCGTCGTGATTCTACCGCGGCGCGAGCGCGTCCGGGCCTCCCGCGGCGACCCGCCCCCGCCCCTTCGGCCACACACACAGGTCGGCCCGGATTGGTAGGTCGGCCCTGCCAAGTGAAGGGTAATTACCCTTGTGACCTGTGTCTCGCGACACATGCTTCCTACATTCCTGTGGCAATGTGGCCCTCGGAAGGGTCTTGCGTCCCCTCGCGTGTCCTGTCCAATCGAGGCCGACTGCACGTAAGATTGACCCTCCGCTGGAGTGGCCTATGGTGTGGGCCCACTGGGGCCCCCCGATCGCCGAGCGCGATGCGGCAGTAGCGCCTTGCGCGCTGGTGTTTGGTACCCCTCCCCCGCGGCCCCCAAAAAGCCGCGCACCAAGGGTCGCTCTTGCCGTGTAGTCGACGTTAGACGGCCCTGCGGCGCGGTAAGGGCCCCGGGGGGCCCAAACGACGAAAACCGTCCCGTCGTGATTTTGTTTCGCGACGCGATCACGTCTGCGTCGCCGTCCTCGGTTGATCAGCCGCGCGCAGAAGGGGGTAGGGAGAGGGGGCAATGCTTCTTAGAAGCACCCCTGTTTCTCAGAAGGTGCGGGCCTTGCTTATAGATGTAGGGCCATGCCTATAGATGTGCGAAAACCTTCTCGTCGGGATTTTCTCACGACGCGAGCATGTCTCGGACGGTGCTGGGACGAGGATACCTCCGGAACGCTCTGAGAGCGGCGTGGAGCACTCTGAGAAGGCCACGGCGCCCGTGACATCCTCCGGAGCCGGCGGATCCCAGAAATCTTCCGTTTATCCTCGCCCCATCTTCTCTTCGTCGTGGATTCGTCCTGGTCGTGGTTTCCTCGCGGCGCGAGCGCGTCCGGGCTCCCCGCGGCGGCCCGCCGCCGCGCCCTGCGGCGTCGAGGCGCTGGCGCATCGACCGGACCACCACGCCGGGCGAGCTGCAGGGGCCGCCGCCCCGGTTGGGTGGGCGCGGCGACAAGGGCGGCGGGGCTGCGCGATGTCGTCGTCGTCGTCGTCGTCGTCGTCGCCGTCGTCGTCGTCGTCGTCGTCGCCTTCGTCGTCGTCACCGTCGTCGTCGTCGTCGCCGTCGTCGTCGGTGCTCGGTGCTCGATGCCGAGGGCGGGGCCGCTGGTGCTCGATGCCGTGGCGGCTCGGTGCTCGGTGCTCGATGCCGAGGGCAGGGCCGCTGGTCGCAGCTGGCACCTAGAACCGTGGCGGCTGCGGCGCCGTTCGCGCCGTTTCGCGCGCCGCTCGCGCGCTGTACGCATGGGATTGTCGACTCTGCAACTTGGCGGCCGACATGTTGCCCTCTGCCTCACGCTGTGGCGCGGCTTCGCTGCCGTGTGTAGCGGTGTGCTAGGCGGAGGTGGTCAGTTGCTCTGTGGGTGCACGCAGGCCTGCGTGCGCGCTCACACCCGATCCCGCCAGCCAAGACAAGCACCGGCCCTCATCGCCGCTGCGGTCGCCGCGCTGCCGCCGCAGGCAGGCAGACAGCGGGGAGATAGGCTCCAGCGCAGGGGGGGCATCGAGCATCGACCCCCCCGACTCGCCAATGGATCGCCGAGAGGGGCCCGATCGCTTACCCCGCCCAGGAGCATGCGGCTTCGCCGAATTGCCGCGGCGAGGTATCGCGAATTCCAACTCGACGCTTTGCCCCCTGAGCCAGTCGGCACCTGACACTGCTCCTGACCGATGCACGCGGAAAGGCGCGCGCCCGTGGAGCAACCGATGCACGTTCCCAAACGCGAGCTCTCCGCGCCGGCGAGTCGTTGGGTGGCTACGCTGTTCCCCTCCGATGGCCTCCTCCCGCCTCCTCCTGTTTTCTCCCACTCCCCAGACATTCGGCGATATGATTTTTTTCAATCCGAGGCCCCAGCCCTGGGGCTGCTTTTTCGATCCAGATCAATGCTGGGTGGTCCCCGAGCCCGATAACGGGCCACGGAGGCCGAACTACAGGAAGATTTGCTAGATTGGAATATATACATATATATATATACATATATATATATATATATATCCTCCGATATCCTCAGATCTCTAGGCCTTTCTTTCTCAATCTCCCTCTCCCAGCTGCCGTTGTGTGGTTTGAAGAGATGGCAGTGTGGGCCATGTTGATCCCGCACACAACGCCCT